CACTTTATCTGATAAGCGGGATTTTTATCCTGTGGGAGGGTTCCATCTTTTAGGTAGCTGGTCATATCTATGACCCAACTGGGGACGGCATAAGATATGGCCTTGATCTGGAGCACCATGATTGTTGGGGCTGCCAAGGTTTCCCGATGGGCAAACCGTTGGATATGAGCTGGAATCTGCTGTGCCCGATCATCGAGCGCTGCATTTTCCAATTTGGATAAGATGTTTGCTTCGGTATTTTCTATTATGGATATTTGGTCGAGCACCACCTGTTCAAATTTGTTTATCTGCTCCTCGACTAGCTCTTTGTAAGCCTTCATTCTTTCCTGTTTAGCCTCAGCTGTGCCATTTACCTGGTTGACCACCAATTGACTATCCGACCGGACTTTTAACCGATCGGCGCCCAGGGTCTTCGCATATTTTAAACCTGCAATAAGGACCTCATACTCGGCCTCATTGTTGGTTACTTTGAAGTCAAAATGAATGGAGTAATATGCTTTGAACCCTTCGGGCGATGTGATCACAGCTCCGGCTCCACAACCCTTGGCATTAGGTATGCCTTGAAATCTTCAAAGGCCGTTTGACATTCAGCGGTCCATTCAAAGGGGTTGGCTTTTTTCATGATCTGGAAGAATGGAATAGCTCGATCGGATAGCTTGGATAGGAATCTGCTCAGAGCTGCTAACCAACCGGTCAATCTCTGCACCTCCTTGAGGTTTCTAGGAGCTTCCATATCCACAATTGCCTTTACCTTCTCAGGATTAGGCTCAATCCCCTTCTCGCTCATCATGTATCCCAAAAACTTGCCCCCTCTCACAGCAAAGGCACATTTTTTGGGATTCAGTCTCATGTTTGCTTTCTGCATTATTCCGAACACCTTTTCTATGTCCAGGATATGATTCTCCTTCTTCCAGCTCTTGATCAGGATATCATCAACATAAGCCTCCATTGTGACTCCCAACACCTCTTTGAAGAGCATTCCGATCATCCTTTGAAAAGTAGCCATTGCGTTCTTTAACCCGAATGGCATGACAATATAGCAAAACACACCATCGTCTGGGTCCATGAAAATTTGATGATATCCCCGGAATGCATCCATGAAGCTCAACAATTCACACCCGGCCGTTTCATCCACTAACAGATCGATCCTCGTCACCGGATAAGGGTCCATGGGACAAGCTTTATTCAGATCCGAGTAATGCACGACCACGCACATCCTCCAAGTCGATTGTTTTGGGGCTAGGACCACATTGGATAGCCATTCGACATGAATTACCGGACGAATGTGTTTTATTCTCAGCAAGGTGGCCACTTCCTGCTTTGTGAAATCCCGTCGTTCGGTCGCTTGGTATCGTTTCTTTTGTTGGACCGGGTTTGTGTCAGGCCGAACGGCAAGCTTGTGACAGATTATCTCTGGGTCAATGCCCGACATATCTTCCGGCCCTCGGGCGAATAATACCTGAAACTTTTTTAGGATGGCAATCACACCATCCCGAATGTCAGCCTCCGGATCGATCCACCCCGATAGCTACCTTTCGGTTCGGGGGGGAGTCGAGGTCAATTTGCTCGAGGAGAGTGGCAGGTTCTGGATGCGCCTCGAACTCCGTTCGGTGGGTCTCCACCTCAATACTCTTAACCCGCATTCCACGGGTATTCATCTGCTTCAGGGCCTCTCAGTATCACGTTCGGGCTGTCGCCGGATCAGTTCTGGCCACCCCAACCCCAGTGTCTGTGGGGAATTTGATGAACGAGTGGCGGACAGAGGCTATTGCCCCCAGATCTTCCAATCCCGGTCGGCCCAAGATGGCGTTATGGGCACATTTTATGTCCACCACAACGAACGTCATTCGGACTGATGCCTTGTGCGTTTCGTCCCCAATTTCAACTAACAATTGAACGGTCCCCTCAGCCTCAATACAGTTACCGGTGAAGCTTGCCAGTGGGGTTCTTAGGTGGGTCAGTTAACTTCTCTGTAGGCCCATTTTCTCGAACGATTGTAAATACAATACGTTCACACTGCTCCCCGTATCGATCAGTACCCGGCGAATCAAAGCATTGTCAATGCACATGCTCACCACCAATTCATCCCTGTGCGGACTTGGCGAGTTAGGTAAATCAGCCGGCCCAAATGTGATTGGGTCTGTCCTTCCTTTCTTCTGGGGGGAGTGGAGATAGATCCTACATAAAGACTTCGCTCGAACCTTTTCCGTTCGGCGTTCGAATCCCCTGTTTCCCCGCCCCGAAATATAACTTTGACCTCCATTCGAGGTTTCTTTCCGAGGCCTCCCGAGCCCTCTGGTTTGTCTCTGGGAGGAATATATACGTCATTATGGGGCTGGGCATCACGTTGGGCATCCCGTCGCCAGCTGTTGGATCTCCTGACCGGCTTTAAAGTGCTTACCGCATTCGGGTCTTTACTTACGTACTTGCCCAGATGACCCCACCGGATCAAGTCCTCAATGGCCGTTTGTAGTGCCCTACAAGCATTGGTGGCATGACCTTTCCTGTTATGATATTTACAAAAAGCAGATTCATCTGCTCCCATATAATTTGAATAATCAGTCGGAAGGGGAATGTTGTCCTTCTCGTTCTGATAAATGGTTGCCATGGATAGGACCAGGGGAGTAAATCGCCCTTGCTTAGGAGGGAGAGAGGCCGATGGGGTAGGACCCAACCGATCGGCCATCTTGATGGGGGCAGAAGGCGCAGCGACCTTGTCCTTGATCATAATCTCTTCTTCCAGGGCAGCATGCTTGCGGGCTCTATCTAACACCTCGGCATACGCCGTACCCGGGTTCTTCTTCAAATCCTTGTATAATTCTCCCGTTCGGAGAGCGTTATTGAATAGGGTGATGGCGGTGTCATCCGTCATGTTTTCGACCATCAGAGTTTCGTCCCTCCATCTTTTCAAGAATTGATTGAGGGTCTCCTTGGAGTTCTGCTTTACGCTAGTCAGGTAGCTGAAATGCTGCTTTGGGTTGGCACTGGAGGCAAATTGGGCCAAGAGAAACGTTGATAGTTCGGCAAAGCTACCGATCGACCTAGGCTGCAGGGTCCCGAACCATTCTTGAGCGGGTCCTCTGAGCGTACTGAAGAACAATCGGCAGATGGCTGCCTCGGGCGCTCCTAGTAGCATGAGTCCTCCTTGATAACTCCTTAAATGGACCTGGGGATCGCCTACCCCATCATATATCTGACCGGTCGGTGGTTTGGCACCTCCCTGGATATTCACATACATAATTTCCCTGGTGAAAGGGGAAGTGATCCCGAGCTGGATCGGAGCAGGTTGTACGGGCGCCCTATTCATCTGATCTCTCATTTCATTCATCTGCCTCCTCATTTTGGCCATTTCTTCCTCCTGGGCCTTCAAAGGGGGCGGTGGTGGAGTCCTCATATCTGCATACTCCCGATCCAAGTGCCTCTGCGTGGCCCTAGTATAATTCCGTTCGTCATGCTGGAAATGACGGCCAATAGGAGTAGGTCCCCTGACTTGTGATTCGATCGGGGTCCGGTCACTGAGAATACGATGTGCTGCTGTTTGAGCGCCACGTCGATTATCCCGATGGGCCCGTGAGTGGGATGACGCTGTGGTTGTTTCTTTGTGGGGAGTTTCCCCTGTGAAATTGGATCCTCCTTCTTCCTCGTTTGCCATGTGCTGCATGACCTGGGCCATATCTCGCATGGCCTGAGGATTCCTCCTTAGGGCTTCAGGAATGATAAAGTCCCCACCATAATGAGGATATGATCCTCGGCTGGATTGTCCCTGAGGGGTTTGGTTTCTCGGAGTTTGACTCCTTCCGTGACGGCGCGAACCATCATTTGTGTGATAAGAACTGATTCTGACCATTTTCAAAAATAGTTGTTTTGGATAATTGATGTGAAACTTTTTGAACAGATTTCCCACAGACGGCGCCAATGTTGAAGTTAAGTCCCGCAGACCCGAAAGCCCAACACGAACTTTGGATATATCAGGAATGGATCAGAGTCAAAGTGTATAAAAAAATATAAAAGATGAATCAACAAATGCTCAAAAGCCCACTTGTATTAATTAACCTGTCTGATTACAAGGAAACTTCTCGATCGGTACGTCGGAACTGTACTTTAATACAAGAAACGAAAGTAATAATGCTATTCTAGAGCTTGAGTATCAAAATACTCACCCTTACAATGATATTAAACCTTCTATTTATACTAATGGAGATCATGGGTTGTTCTATGCTGATTGGCCGTTGTTCCACCGACTTGTTCACCCATGCTTCCACTTGCTGATGTCACAATCTGGCATTAAATGCACCTGGCCACTTGCTGGTTGCCCGTTGCTCGAACGGGATGCTGGACCATGCAGAAGACGCTGTCAAATTGGCCCAAGTATGATGTATGCTCCGAACTCCGTTCGGTATTTCTGCTCTCTGGGCCGGCCTCTACTTGGACCGAACCTCGTTTGGTATGGATTCTTCACTGGGCCTACTCATCATAGGGTAATGGACTCGTTGTTTGGGCTGGATATCCTGGGCCTTTTTAATCCGGGTATTGGGCCTCCGGGTCAATATCCCAACAGTGAATTTTCCGATGCCCCTTACGTTAATTATTTTTGTTCTTACATGAAAGAGAAGTTTTTTAAATATTATTCACATATTCTTCATATATATGGTATTGCATTTATTCTTGATCCTCATCATAGACTTGACGCTTTGGGGCATTGTTTAGATTACTATTATGCTTCTTTTTTGGGACATTTCCTATGTACAAGGATAAGCTTAAGACCCTAAACAAGAATTCCAAGATGTTAGTAATTTATTATATCAATTATTTAATGAGTTTCATGCAAAATATGGTCATTCACCTCCTCCCCGACACGAACAACTTTTTCATCCAAAGGAAATTCACTTTTTAAATATGCATTTGACAATCTTATGAAAAAAGTAAATCAACTCCTGTTAATGAACAAAGCTCGATTAATGAGCTTTCTTTGTATCTAACATTTCCTGTTGGTTATGAAGAACGGGATGACTTTGACGTTCTAAAGTGGTGGAAGGAAAAAGAAAGAATGTTCCCGATTTTATCAAAGATGGTTAAGCAAGTGCTAGCAATGCTGGTATCAACAGTTGCTGTGGAACAAGAATTCAGTGCGGCCGGCAACGTGCTAACGGATTATAGAACGAGATTGAGCGTGAACTCTCTTGAGACGCTTGTTTGTTTCCACGATCGGTTGAAGGCAAAACGTAGAACTCAAGAAGTGTGCATCGCCCCACCCGCCACTTTATGGAAGAAACAATCGAAGATGGCGAAGATTCCGATCGATTATATTTATTAGAAAATGTATTTCATGTTTTAAATTTTTCTCAATTCTCAATTATACTACATATTTCAAATAAATATACTTTTTTTATAACCAACAATTCATGAATTAATTTGAAAAAAATTTACCCTTTTCGAACCGGCCCGGCTCAGTCTACACGGCCAGAACTGATAGGTACCCGAGCTGGTTTCGGGCCTCACTTCTCCAAAAAAAGCCCGGTCGAAACCGGCCCGAGGCACATCCTGACCCAAACCGAGTCCATGCCTAGGTGGACTTGCCCTGCCTCGTGACCCGCACGGGTCATTAGATGTTTACCCATGACCCATCCCATACGGGGCGGGTCCCATGGGTGGACCTACCTTATAAGGAGAGTAAGCAGAGACTTCACCTCAAAATGTGTGTTTAGTCTATGCGGTAGTATTAGGCAAATTAAGTTCTTCAGGCCCATACATGTGTGAATGTGAGATCCCATACGGCCCATACATGTTAAATATACATAAAAACACATTGACAATTAACTTTTCATCTAATTCGAAATGTAAATATTAATATACTACTAGCTCCATCCCAGAAAGGTTTGCCAAATTGACTTTTCGGGGTCAATGTTGGCAATCTTTGAGCAATGATTTTAATTATTATATTTGTACATAATTTATAAATTTTATACTTTCATGAAAATATTTTCAATAAGGAATATTTTGATATAATTTTCATATTCTAAATAATTTCGTATTAAAATATACCATTAGTCAAAGTTGATTGTCATTGACCAAGAAAAGTTAATTTGTCTAACCTTTTAAGGACGGAGGGAGTACATATTAAAAAGATCAAGGAATTCTTCAATTATTATTACTCTCTCTCTCTCTCACACACACACACACATGTATTTGTAGTACTCCGTATAATTTAAAAAAAAAAGATTACATTTCTATATTAAGTGGGTCGGGCCGGGGAAGGTCGGAGCGGTACGAGTCAATACTAATACCCGAACACGCCTTATTTTATTCACGGGGCGGAGCGGACCTGCCCCATTTGCAAGACGGGGCGGGCCGAACCCACCCCAAATGTCTCGGGGCAGGGTGGGTGTCTACGGGCCGAGTTTTTTTGACATGCTTAGTTCCAAAGTCCCACTCCTAGATATATGTGAAATTGTGAAGTATTGGGCTGGATACGTAAATAGAGATTTGGCAAAACTGTATGTCTATATGCCAAATTAACGAGTCAAGGCCCAAAATAGTCAACAATGACTGCGTCAAATCGTCGCCCACTTTGGAATGACGCTTTACACCCTTAAACTTATTTTGGTTCTTGGTTACGCATCGACCGCCAGAGGCGAGCCAACAAACGGTCAATAAACCGCCGGCGTTTCTCGTTCGAAGTGAACTTCAGAATTTTAACCCATTTTCTCTGCATAGATGGAAAATCTAACTCAAGAATCGAACCTCCGGTCTGAAAATACTGTCACCTATGACTCTCCATACCCAATTTTCGCCATGGCGGTGTCCTCCTTCGGTTCCGCCACCCACGGCCCCCGGCGACGCAACATTGCCGTCGGCAGCTTCATCGAAGAATACAAAAACCGGGTCGAGATTCTCTCCTTCGAAGAAGACACTGTAACTCTCAAGCCAAACCCGGCGCTAGCCTTCGATCACCCTTACCCGCCGACGAAGCTGATGTTCCACCCAAACCCTACATCCGCCGACCTTCTCGTCTCCTCCGGCGACTACCTCCGGCTCTGGGAAGTCCGGGAATCTTCCGTTGACCCGATTTCCACTTTCAATAACAGCAAAACGAGCGAATACTCCGCCCCGCTGACCTCCTTCGATTGGAACGAGGCTGAGCCGCGGCGGATCGGGACATCCAGCATCGACACCACCTGTACGATCTGGGATATAGAGAAAGGGGTCGTGGAAACCCAATTGATAGCACACGACAAAGAGGTATACGACATAGCCTGGGGGCAGGCCGGAGTTTTCGCGTCGGTTTCCGCCGACGGGTCGGTTCGAATCTTCGATTTGAGAGATAAAGAACACTCCACGATCATATACGAGAGCCCTCAGCCGGAAACGCCATTGTTGAGGTTAGCTTGGAACAAGCAAGACTTGAGGTACATGGCGACCATTTTAATGGACAGCAATAAGATCGTGATATTGGATATAAGGTCCCCGGCGATGCCGGTGGCGGAGCTGGAGCGGCACAATGGCAGTGTGAATGCGATTGCTTGGGCCCCACAGAGCTACAGACACATATGCTCTGGTGGAGACGATGGGCAGGCCCTTATCTGGGAATTGCCCACCGTTGCGGGCCCAAATGGGATCGATCCGTTGTCTATGTATTGGGCTGGATCTGAAATTAATCAGCTCCAGTGGTCTGCGGCCCAGCCTGATTGGATTACTATTGCGTTTTCTAACAAGTTGCAGATGCTTAAAGTGTGAGATAGACAACAAAGTTTGCATCTTTACTAGATTTGTAGGAGTGTATGTGCTGGGTTATTGGTCATCAATTGATCAATTATTGTGTTTGGTAACTATGTACTGTGTTATTAAGTTGGTGTGTTTGGTATTTGTCGATGAGATTGTTGAATGTTAGGAACTTATATGCCTTCCGGTTCGTTTGGTTTCCGGCGGTTTTTGTCCCAACCCGCTGCAATATGCAGCGTTTTACGTGTTAAAATAAGGCGTTTTCGGTAAAACGTCAATTCCCAAACAACCCTGAATCCTCTCTGCTTGAATGGGTGTATATAGTTTCTTGAACAAGGACATCCTTTACCTTTAGTTCTGCCATAACACTTCAGATTCGGTTCGATCAGTTTCTATGTTTTCGGGTCAGTTTGAACTGAGTTGGAAAATGATTGTCAAACTAAATCAAAATTATGTTATGGTTTGTTTTGTACAATGTGGTTTAGATTTGCTTGTTTTTAAAAATTTATTAAACTTTGTTAAACTGTATTTCTGTTCGAGTTTATCCAGTTCCCTTGATTTGTATTCAGTTCTGTTTCAGTTTCATATTCTATTTGTTACTACGTATTTTTTTAATTGAAACTATTTCCTCCAATACTGCTCTTGCTTTCTTTTTGTGAATGTATCAATATTAAGTTTAATATTTTAACAGTAAACAACTCTTTTATCTCTATCATACTTTGGAGCATACAACAACAACATCCAAGCTTTAGTCCCAAAAGATATTGGGGTCGGCTAACATGAATCGATACATGATATCACAACCAAAAGGAAAAGAAAGAAAACAAAGATAAAAAAGATAAGCTATTATAAAAAGATAATATAAAAAGAGATGAATATACATCATTTTCATTTTCATTTACCCCAGTGCCGCAAAGGCTCCCACCTACGGTGGGGTAAGGGGGGGTCGGATGTACGCAATCTTACCCCTGTACTAAAACACAGAGAGACTGTTTCCGGATGACCCATAGTGAAAATCCCGTCCAAAATTGCATGGACTGACTGCTGCTTCATAACAAAGAAGCGCAAACAGTTTAGTGAGCCATTTTGCTTTATTCCATCATAATCTCAAGCCAAAAAATAATGAATCTTTGGCTCCATTGCAAATGATGGAAAGAAAGAGATGAATATACATAAAAATGATAAAATAAAAAGGCTACAAATAATGCTTATATATATAAGGATAAAAAATAAATAAAAAAAGATTGAGGGAAAAAGATGATACGAGTAGGGATGGACCCGGGCCGGTCCGGTTCCGGGCCGGTCCGGTTCCGGTTCCGGGCCGGTCCGGTTCCGGTTCCGGGCCGGGCGGGCTTTTTTTGCAAATCCTTGGGCCCGGAACCGGCCCGGGTTGATACCGGGTCCAGGCCTAACCGGGCTCGGCCGGGCCGGGCCCGGTTCAATGTCTAATTATTATTTTTTTTGCTTTCTTGTTATCCCCCGACCCCCCCCCCCCTCACCCCCACCCCAAACCTCCCCAAAACACCCAGCCCTACCCTAGGAAAAGAAAAAAAATTGAAAAAAAAAATTGACCCGGGCTGGTTCGCCCAAAACTGGGCCTGAGCCTGGCCCGCCCGACCCGCCCAAACGGGATAAAAGCCCAGAACCGGCCAACCGGTCATGGTCCGGTCCGGGCCCGCACAGTAGCGGTCTGGGCCCGCACAGTAGCGGGCCGGGCCGGTTCCGGGCCGGGCCGGTTTAGTCATCCCTAGATACGAGATCACTCTTTCACGCGAATACCCACTCTCTACTTAGTTCTCTCCAAAGTCATGCCCTCATCCAACCCCAGAAGAAGCATATCACTTCGAACTCCCTTAACCCACGTCTGTTTGGATCTTCCTCTCCCTCTCTTCCCTACCTTTTCTCCACACATCTCAACTCGTCTGACAGGTGGATCACTCGGTCTTCTACGTACATTACCAAACCACCGTAGGCGCGACTACGCACATGACCAAACCACCGTTGGAGCATATATTTTATAAATGCGAAAAATGGTTTATGTTTTTATTGGGAGTTTTTCAAAAACTAATATAGTTAGTGTAAGTTTTTAGTTTTAATATATCATATAACTAATAATGTATTTTATACCTGAAATGAGTTTTCTATATTTAGTAGGAACTCCAATGTATTTAGGACTCTATTCATTATGTACTACGTATATGATATTAAGGACTTCAGTCTGGTAAGTCTGATAGTATTTTCTAATGACATCAAGAGATTTAGGTTTTAGCTAGAATTACTTTTTTTCCGGTACTATGAATTCTACATCAACAGCCGCGTTGCTGCCCTTAGGTCCTCCGTCACCATGTCTAAGGCGGCCTCAGAATCGCTGATGCTTAGCGCGGCTGCTACAGTGCAGCCCTCTCTCTCACTGTCCTCGTCTCTGACATTGGCACCATCCTCTGTCTTGAGTTTACTATTGAGTTCGGTGAACCCTGTTGCCTTTGCTCCCACGGCTCCCACGGGGTATACGTAATAGAATTATTAGAGGCTTAGTATTGTACTTTACATTAAACTCTCTTTAATATAAATATATCTGCCAGGGCTCCTTAGGGAGTAATTTTTCCCATTATTTTCACATGGTATCAAGAGCACAATTTGTTTTCGATCCTCTCTCTCGCTAAACCCTAGGCCGCCGACTTCTGCCCTAGTGCCGCCGCCATCTTCTCTTCGGCGCTACACTCTACTGCCACCGCCGTCCTCTTCCCTCCGACGTCGCGCAGCGCTGCAGCATGTCGTCCTCAGCTTCCGCCTCCGTCAGCACCATGGCAGTCACTGCCCAGCCAGCCGGTGCTTCTACAGTCGCTCCTTCAACTATCACGGCCGGCGCTCCTTCGTCTTTCGGATCGCTGCCGGCTCTCACATCCGTCTCTTCCGGTATGACGTTCTCCTCCAACTTTGCATCACCAAGCCGGGTCTCTATGCCATACTCTCTGTTTCAGAATGTACCACCGGTGTTCCCTTGGTCGGCTCCAATTCCCGTGCAGGCTGTCCCTCTAGAGCCGTCGCCCTTCTTGGCCGGACCTTCCTTTGCTGGCCCCACGTTCGTCGCCTCACCTGGTGTCTCCTCCGTTGTTCCTCCCTCTCGCACACCAGCAGGCAGCCCGGCCAGATCCATTCTCTCTGATTTGGCTCAAACCATATCTCATGTGGCCACCAATGTCACAAATATTGTGACTACTAAACTTTTGGCGGTAGAAGACTACACCACTTGAAGGACACAATTCGAATCGTTTCTGGTTTCTCAAGCTCTATTTGGCATGGTTGATGGCTCCATTCAGGTACCCCCTGCTTATTCCATAGATGCTCTTAACTGACAAACTCCCAATCCCGAATTTTCCACTTGGTTGAGAATTGATCAAACAATCCGTTCATGGTTATTTGCAACCCTATCTAGGGATGTTCTTATCGATGTGCGCGATTTAAAACACTCATACGAAATTTGGGAGTGGTTAGAGTCTCGGTTTATGTCTGCCAGTTTAGCCAGGTCTATGGAATTAAAGCGTTTATTTAATCAAATTAAAAAGAAACCTGATCAGTCCATGGATAATTATCTGAGGGAAATTAAAACATTAGCTGATGATCTTGCCACAATCAATTGTCTTGTGCCTCCTCGTGAGATTTTAAAAACTACTATTATGGGACTCGGACCTGAGTACGAATCTTTATTCACTGCTGTGTCATTATTTGGACAAAATTTGCCGTTTAAGACTCTCCGTAATCATCTTCTTGAGTTAGAACAGCGGGTCATTTATCTACGCTCACAGGAGTCCTCGTCCCTCCATCAGGCCTTCGGCGCTGTGGTCAATTTATCTGGGCAGTCCACTGGTCAGCAGGCCGGCCAGCAGCATTCGGGCTCACAGTACCCGGTCGGGCAGACTCAGCACCCGGTCGGGAAACAGAGGCAGCAGAGCTCTCAGCAGCGCGGCAGGGGCCACGGTCACGGGCGAGGCCGCGATGGCAGGGGTCGTGGCAGAGGGCATTACTCAGTCAAGTATGGTCAGCCGCCAGCATACTGGTATCCTCAGGGGCAACCAGCTTATAACCCTGGAGAGGGTGGTTCACCTGCAGGGGGTGTCACATCTACGGGTACTGTTATTTGTAATTCTGCTATGTCACATTTAAATATTCATGCTTTACCCATTTGTGTTACTAACCGTAGTTCTGCAGGATTGCCATCAGATGGGGGTATTCTTGGGTCTGTTCCCCATCCTGTTGTCTATCAAATTTGTTTTTCTGCAGGTCATTCAGCCTTAAATTGTCCTTCTCGTTTCACACAACCATCCGCCCCAGCTTTGTTGACTACTCCCGGTGACACTACTCCTGCTCTATGGTTTCCAGATTCAGGAGCCTCTGCTCATATGACTGCATCTGAAGGTATTTTAGTTAATAAATCTCCTTACATCGGCTATAATTCTGTTAGTGTTGCCAATGGTGCCCATCTTCCCATTTGTCATGTTGGTGATGTTGCATTACCTACGTCTGGTCGTCCTCTCACTTTAAAATATGTTAATCATGTGCCTCAGTTAAAATACAATTTAATTTCAATTAAAAGGCTATGCGCTTATAATAATTGTATTGTAATTTTTGATAAAAATTCTTTTTTGATTAAGGACAAAGCAACGAGGGCAGTGCTTCTGCGAGCTACCAGTAGTGGACCACTTTATCCTATCAATCTGCAGCCCTCATCACCATTAGTTTTTACTTCTGTTTTAGCTTCTGGTCCTGTGTGGCACCGTAGATTAGGTCATTGTGGTGATAGTATTTTATAGTTTCTTAAGAGAACACAATTTTTATGTAGTCATACTCCCTTTACTCATGAGTGTGTGGCTTGTCGTTTAGGAAAATCACAACGTTTGCCTTTTATGGATGCTAGTCATAATTCTGTTTTTCCTCTGAAAATTATTCATTCTGATGTGTGGCAGTCACCTGTGTATTCAAATTTGGGATTCAAGTATTATGTGTGTTTCATTGATGATTTTTCTCGTTATACTTGGATATATCCCATGTGTCACAAAAGTGAAGTTTTTATGCACTTTAAAAATTTTAAAGCTTTGGTTGAAAATCTTTTTAATCAGAAAATTAAAATTTTTCAAAGTGATGGGGGAGGTGAATTTGTTAACAATAATATGCAGCAATTTTTTTCTGCTAATGGCATTTATTTTCGAAAATCTTGTCCTGACACACCTCAACAAAATGGGGTTGCTGAGCGCAAGCATCATCATTTACTTGAGTTAACTCGGACCATGCTTCTTGAAGCTTCGATTCCAAGTCACTATTGGGTCGATGCCATATTCACTGCTGCATATATTATTAATAGATTACCCTCTCCTACCTTAAATGGCTTTTCTCCGTACCAAAAACTTTTTAACCGTGTTCCGGATTACTTCTTTATGCGAGTATTTGGTTGTGCCTGCTATCCAAATTTTTCGGCCACCTCAGCCAATAAATTATCACCTCGTTCAGTTCAGTGTGTTTTTCTTGGCTATGCATCTGGTTATAAAGGTTATCGTTGTTTGGATCCTATCACAAGTCGAGTCTATGTTAGCCGACATGTT